GATGGTTGAGACTTTCCAAATCTTGAAAGTGAAAACATTAACCTACCATCCAACAATGGTGGTTGAGTTGAGCAGCCACACCCGGTGAACCCTACACCACCGTACCAACACCTCAAAGGGTCAATGTTGGCGAGAGTCACGCCACTTCATCTCATATCCATGTTGAGCAACCGCCACCTGTGCAAGGTGTTGCTTGACAAAACACTCCAGAAGTTAGACCATACATGGCTCCTGTTAATGTTGGGATGGGTTTGGGTCCAAACAATGTTGACCCGATACCACCACGTGCATACCCGCAGCAAATCCCGCCCTTTGTGAACATGCAAGGAGTGGATCATGGTGGATTCATACCGCTTGGGGGGCAACAAGGGGGCATGATGTGAATACACTTCATGATCATATGGAACAGTTGTTTGCTGAACAATTTGGTTTTGGTATGAGACCAACGATGCCAACTGTCTATCGAAAGCCGTACCTAGAGTGGGTGGATAGTATGTATCCATTCCCAAGAGGGTTTAGGGTACCAGAGTTTGTACCTTTTACCGGAACATGTGATCAATCCATAGTGGATCATGTTAGACGATGTATTGTCCAATGTGGTGATGTGGGTGATTTTGTCAGGCTACGTTTGTTTGGCAACTCTTTGACAGGACCTGCTTTTTCATGATACGTCAATTTGCCATCTAATTCAGTGCAAAATTGGAAACAAATGGAACAAATGCTTCATGCACAATTCTATCGTTCTAAACCTGAAGTAACCATGGCTGACTTGGCACGTATGCGCCAGCAACCAGGGGAGATTGTGGAACACTTCTTGACAAGTTTTAAAAATGCACGTAATCGTTGTTTTGTGAACTTGACCGAACGTGAATTTTTCAAGCTATCACAAGGTGGTTTGAACTTTGAACTTCGTAAAATATTTCAGAAAAGAGAGTTCTCTGATTTATTCCAGTTGATGTCACGTGCGGTTAGGTATGAGACTCTTCTACGTGAAGAAGAGAATAGAGGTAGTGCATCTAGGGGACTGTACCACCCTAATTTTGATATACCATTATCCATATTGCTCAGGATGGGGATGGCGTCGAGATAGATTTAGCTGAAATTGTGCAATGGAAGCCATATGTTTGTGCTTCCTTAGTCAAGATGGATAATGAACAACAAGTTGGAAAACCTAACCGTGCTCCAATCCAACCTAGGAAATTGTCTTTTAATGTGGCCAAGTTAAACTTAATATTTGACCAGTTGTACAAGGATGGTCAGATTAAGCTGTTTGGGGGGCATAGTATCCCACCCCCTGAGAAGTTAAAAGGAAAACTTTATTGCAAGTGGCATAATAGTATGTCACATGCCACTAATAGTTGTGTGGTTTTTCGTAATATTTTGCAGGATGCGATTGACAAGGGTCGCATCAAGTTCCCAGGCCCTAAAAAGGATGCTATGACAATGGATACTGATTCACTCCCAAATATCTTGGGCATCAACATGGTCAATCCTAAATTTTCAAAGATTGACTTGCCACACTTCAAGCTGGTGTTGGATATAACACCGCAACTAAGTGGCAACTTCAATGTAATTGTGCATGGTGGCTCATCATCAACTGACATGCAATATGGGCCACATATTGATCCGGATGATGAAGAAAAGTTGTGTGCATAGTGCAAAGGGAAGCTGAATCTTGGTGGAGATAGACGAACCCAATCGGTCCATCAAAGACTTGGTCCACATAGGCCATTCAAGCCAAGGAATCCACCATATGAACGTCAGGTGGAAGGAGTACGTGCACCTGCATGGGGAAGAGGGCAACGTAGGCAATGGGTTGCTCAAAATGCCCCGCCTTTCAAAAGTGCACCTTTTGGACTCTCCCTACCTTATAGAAGTTCACCACCTGTTAGAAGTACCTTCAAGATGCCTAATGTGCCATCAACTAGATGGAAAACTTATAATGTTCGTCATCAACAACCAATTGCGGTGGATGGGATGACAATGACACAATATAGAAGGTTCCTTCACAAGAATGCTCAACAGAAAAAGATTTACAACATGCATACAATGTTCGTGTAAACAACTCTGTTGTCACTAGTCTTAAGGTCACGGTGTCTGACAGTGGCAAGAGTGTGGAGAAGAATGATGAAGCCCCAGAAGATGATGGGTATGATGCAGAGCTGGACAAATCATTCATGGAAGAAGAGATGTTGGAGTTGGAACATCCAACGTCAAAGTTTGACAGGAAGAACAAGGATGATGATCATAACACGTCCACAACCATCCAGTTTGGTAGTTTGCCACCTGTTGTGGTGAATAACTACATTTTGCCAACGATCTTTCACTTTGAGATGGATGGTGAAAGAGGAGATGGTGAATTTGAAGTGGAGGCTGGGGAACTGGAAGAAGCAAGCCATTACAGAGTTGGCTGGTGGATTTGATGAGCTAAATTTGGATGGGGATGATGAAGAGTCACCCATTGCTGAACTGGTTACTGAGTTTGCAAGTTTGGGACTAGAGGATGAGTCGTGGAGTGTCATGATGGCTCGTACTGGAGCAAGAATCAACTTGTCTGCTGAGGCAGCAAGGCAACACAAGACTTCCAACAAATTCTAAGGGAATTGTACGAGGCTGGACACAAATATGTGGGAGTACTTGGTGAGGATAACGGTCGCTATCCTTACTACCTATTGTACCAAGGACCAGAAGGATCCACAAGCCTTCCTATTGAGAACTCTACATGGGGTTCAGAATTTGAGGAAGAAGATAACTCTGTGGTTGTCGAAGAGAAGCTAGATGAAAGCAGTGCTATGCATATGGCAACAAGAAGGATCAACAATTGAGGAACCAAGTCGAGTAATGGTGTTCGATGAGCCGGATGCAAATACGCTTCAACATCTCAGGCCATTATACATAAAAACTTAGATTGATATTGTACCAGTGTCGAGGGTGTTCGTTGAAAATGTTGTACTATGAATGTGATGCCCACACGTATGCTCAAGAAGTTAGGAAAGAGTACACGTGATCTCATCCCAACAAAAGTGTTTGTTACCAGCTTCAATGGTGTTTACACCACTGCAAAAGGGATACTACCAGTAGTTGTACGAGTGGGTATCCAAGAGAGAATGGCCGCTTTCTTTGTCGTTGATGGAGCAATAACTACAACGCTTTGCTTGGGAGAGACTGGCTACATGCTAATAAGTGTGTGTCGTCATCGCTGCACCAGTGTTTAATGTTCTGGAACAAGGATGGTGTGGTCGAAGTGGTACGAGCTGACACCAAACCATTTGCTCTGGAGATCAAGACAGTGGATGATGGGTCGTGCACCATGGTGATGTCCAGTGCAAAGGTGTTACCAGGCATGAGATTATTTATTTTATGGATTGCTATTCTGGCTATAACCAAATATATATAGCCGAGGAGGATGTGCACAAGACAGTGTTTCGCTGTCCAGGGGCTATTGATGACTCGATATTTGCAAATATTTTCCCTTTGTTTCTTGATCGTTTAAGCTCTCATTATCGCTTCTTGGGCCTATTTTACACTATGTTGTGTTCCTTTGTCACATTTTAGGTCCTAGTGAGTAAAGGGAGGCATAGGCGCAAGTTTCAAGTCAATAAGAGATCAATTGGCGATTCGGGAGAAGAAACTCAGGCATGACCTTAAGTAGAATGGATTTTTACCTCATTTATGGACAAAGAATCATGCAAGCTTGTCATTAAAATAAAGAGAGCGAGACTACAAGACTCTAGGATCAAACGACAACTGATTCGGAGTCCGGACGAGGGAGAAACGAAGCATTGAATATAGGGAACAGGTTCGCCGGAAGAAACACGGGCAGACTACCCTAAAAACACGGTCGTGTTTCATCTGGCGCCTGCCAATTTTTTTAAGTCGAGCCTCTCTTGTGAAGACTTATGAAGGAATTTAAAACACGGGTGAGACCAAACACGGGTAGGACTAAACACGGTTGTGTTCCCGATCGTGTTTCTGCCCCCTGCTCGGGTATAAGTCTAATTTCTGCGATTTTTAAGAGGGGAGAGCTGGGTTTTGGATCTCAAACACCCAAGGGACGAACCAAAGAGAGAGAGGTAAATATGAGGGAAATCTTGGAGAGGAATTGGAGGATTTCTTTGCCTTGGAAGCTCGACGAACAAGCTCGAACTTGAAGACTGATCATCTGAAGATTCTTACTACAATCTCTCTCTTCTCTATGGAGTAACTTTCCTTCACTTAGGTTTTGCGGAACCCTAGCTATGTTTGTTTGATTGGATGATTGTATGAGTACTCCTACTTGATAATCTTGAGTTCATATTCAATCTATGCATGTTTTCATGATTCAATTCTGCTTTAGTCGAGATTATTGATTCTTCTTTGCTCCTATGAGAGCGAATATCTTATTAGGTCAATAGAGCACCATAGATTGATAGTATTGGATCAATTGCTTTAGTCGAGGGTTGATTCACTGCTTTGTATCGATTGATAACCTCACTCGATAGAGGGAATCTAGTTTAGAATGCTTTGATCGGTTGTTCTAGAGAAGGATACATCCCTCTAGGCAATTGACTCAAGAGGGCCTTGTTCCTTTAGTCGAGACTCAAGGTCTACATACAAAAATGACAGGCAGAAGTGACGAAATCCTTCTGACGACATTGTTTTTTGGTTGGAAATAACCGTTTTTGCAACAGAAATTTATCATCCTCATAAAAACGTAACATTTTTGTGACGAACATCAAAAGTCGTCAATAATGGCTAGGGGGAATCATACCTAAGTGAGTTCCCAACCTGTAATTAGATTAACTTTAACTGTAGTTTGCTAGAGTAGTTTTAGTTCTTGCATCTTAATCTGGTTTGCTAGATAATGAACTGAAGCTGAGTAATAGTAACTCTAGAGACCCGTGGATTCAGTATTTATTACTTGAGCCACTATACTGCAGTCCCTTTCATTGGTTACACTTGGCCATTGTTAGGAGTTGTGTTATAGCGAGTCAGCTATTGATTGCTATGAGTGGATAGTCATGCCTTTTGGTTTGAAGAACGTCGGTGCAACTTACCAACGAGCCATGAATGCTATATTTCATGAGCTGATTGGTGACATGGTGGAACTATACATTGACGACATTATCGTCAAGTCGAAGGTGACAAGTCACCACCTTTCTCATTTATGTAGAGCCTTCCTGTGTATGAGAGCTCACAAGTTAAAATTGAATCCTCTAAAATGTGCTTTTGATGTGAGTGCATGTAACTTTTTAGGATTCTTAGCGAGTCAACGTGGCATTGAGGTCGACCAGAACAAGACCAAGGCCATGATTGAGGTCATGCCACCATGCAATAAAAAGGAGTTACAGCGGTTCCTAAGCCAAGTCAATTACATTCGAAGGTTCATCTCAAATTGTGCAGACCGGACCCAAGTTTTCTCTTTGCTGCTCAAGTTGAAGAAGGAAGATGAGTTTTTGTGGCGGGAGGAGCACCAAAAATCCTTTGAAGATATCAAAAGGTATTTGGTGAACCCGCTAGTTCTCAACTCCCCAATTCGGAATCGTCCTTTGAAATTATATCTTTCGGCCACAGACACATGTGTAGCATGTCTGTTGCCTCATTCATGCCATCTTCATTCATGCCTGGTAATGCAAAGGTTTTACTTTTCATCTTCTAATGAAATGACGCAGTACACCTTAACTTCCCAGGATACCGCAATCACTTCCTTCTCTCATGATAAGGTTCTTGCAGCTGCTGCAGATGCTGCATTTAAGGTCTCCTTCAATCAGAAGAAAAAGCAGGTTCTCATAGTCAAATAACCTCTTAACTTATCCCAAGCTAGACGATGAATTTTCGGCCATGTAGCTTATGCATGGTCACATGCAGGATACTACTAAACCAGGAATCCTTGGCTGTCTTGCCAAAAGCTTCAAAGGCTGTAAACCTGACCAAAACCTGGATGCTTCTCAGATGTGTCATACCGGCAATTTCTCCCATCTTGAGGGTTTGTTTGCCAAACCGCCCGCATTTCCAGACTCGACATCTCGCGAACCACCACAGCCAGAATCTGACTCATCATCTCTTCCTCCTCCAATCAAGAGCGAGAAAGCAGAGGAGCTTAGCATAGATGACATTGTGATAGATGACCTGTCGCCTCCTCTGCCCCAACCAATGACAACCACCTCGAAACAGCCTAAGAAGGAGAAGAGAGGTACCATTTCCTATCAACCATTTTCCCACTATATTGAACACTGTTGATGTCTGTGTGTGCCTGGCTGACGATATGATTTTTGGACGGACCGATCACGACGAGCGAACGGTACAGAAAGGGAACAGTATTAGGCATGGATGATGAAATCGGGCCGCCACCTGCAGGGTACATCTTGTTGAAGAAATCAAAGGAGGTTTTGTGATTCCGTTGTCGCCATAGATTTTCATGGGAGGAATAGAAACCTAGATGGGAGGAAGGAGACGACGCAAGAAGAAAGGATACTGGTGGAGGCGGTTGGTTTTGTTTTAAGGCTGGGTCTGGTCAGGTTATGGATTTGGTTGAATTTGATGATGTGGAGGGTTTGATGATGTGGATGGTCGGGTTTGGTGAAGTGGAAGGTTAACATAGGACGCATCAACACTTCTGTTAGTCACGTCAGCAAATGAATGATGGCGTTAACAGAGACTGTCGGAGACTAACGGAGAGTGATTGTTTAGCTAATTCTAGTGACTAATGTTGGAATTAAATCTTTCTAGTGACTAAACATGACTTTTTTTAGTAAACCCAGTGACCAATGTTGGCATTTACCCAAAAGATATGGTATGGAAGTTACATACCCGTCATTATTCTTGATGTGCCATCCTTTCAAAGGTTCGACCGTGGTTAGAGCCGATTTCCAGTTTTGTATGGTCTTTTGATCAAAGTTCTTCTCATGCTCCCGAAATGCATCTTGCCCAGTTTGATTGTGCACATCTCTTGGATCGATTATATAGAAAATTGGAAGTATGATACGCGATCATCTACCTTCATGTTTTCAACAATTTCGGTAAGCTCCTTGAGACACCATTTACTATGAGCATAAATCCTTGATAATATCGGGACATAAAGTTTGGAGTGACCAATAGTCTTCACGATATAGGGCCATATTCCTTTCCCCGTGCGGAGTTCGTCATCCTCCTTAAACGTATGGAGTATTAAATGAACAAGAAAATGAAAGAGAATATCGGTAATTTAATAACGAGTAGCTGGATCTCGAAAGTTCAAAAACACCTCGTACTCCATAGAGGACAGGGATGGCGAATAATTAGACTCAGTGTAGTCGAAAGCGGCATTTCTACGTAGAAGCATTTTGGTGATCTAGAAACGTAAAACCATAAGTTTTTAAGCTTTAAAGCGTAGTTTTTAACTACATTAGTTATAAAAATGGAGATTATACGTAGAAGCGTTTTGGTGACCTAGAAGCGTAAAACTATAAGTTTTTAAACTTTAAAAATCGATTTTGACTACATTGATTAGAGTCAAACTCCACCAAGGGAAGGGGCAGTGAATCAGAAGAACCTGGAAAGTCATCTGATTGTTGACTGGTGCTATTGCAATTGCCATTGTTAGTGTCATCGTTGGAACTTCTCCAGACAGACCACAACTTGTAGAGGAAAACCAATGGAAGCACCAGGGGTGGCAACTGTTGTTGCTGCTCCTCTTATATAGTAAGTACTCATTCCCTCACAATCATATAAAACTTATGATAGAGATGCAAGTGGATGGTAACGGGTCGGGATTCTCCAAATCCAAACCCAATCCAACGAGGTCATCCGCTAAAAAACCCGATAGAATACTCTTTGGGGTTGGGAAGTGAATACCCAACCCAGTGCATGGGTACTCATGGATACATGACTACTCATAGATTCACGAATATAACCGTAAATAATTCCTCCGAATATTGTTGGAAATTTGGTCAAACCATAATAACTGGGTCGAATTGGTTTAGGATTAGATCAAGTTGGTAAAATTATTGAGCAGGTTAATTAAAATAATTAGCCTACGTTCCAATAGAATTGTCCAAGTTTCATTTCTTTTAAATTGGGAAACTTCCCATTCCATTTCTCCACGTGATGCATTTTGTTTCTTGCAATTTGGAATTGTCGTTCCATCTATTGTTTGATCCAAGTAATGAATTGGTTCAAGGAGGAAAGCAACCCTTCATGAAATGAAATTAGTGGTTAGCTTGGATAATGGGAACGGTTTGGAATTGGTAGTTAGCCACCAAACGTTTAATGAAGCAATACAATGCTTCGGTTATAGTCTCTATAAATAGAGGCAACGGCTGTTGTGTAAAACACACCAAAAATTCATTCTTCTTCCTATTAAATTTCTAAGTATGTTTTAGTGTTCTTAAGCCTGGAACCTAAAGTGGTGATAGTTTTATGCTCAGAAGAAATTTCTTGTAACCCAAGGCTTTGTGGAGGGTGGAAATATTATTTTCGGAAAGTGAACGTTGTTCACGAATCTATCACAATCATGGTCACCCGGTTTCGTGCTATCCTACGGGTACCCTCGTCCCAAAAGTTCCAACCATCGAAAAGAATATTTTCCGGTATGATGGCTCGAACCGCTCTTTACAAGAAACAGGTTCCGATCTATGGAATTATGAGAATGTTCAATGATGAGTTTTTCATCGATGGCAGGAGAAGATGGGTTTTCTTCGTACTAGACTCATGGTGTATTCCATATCCAAAAGGTAACATGACAAAGAAAATTCCTTCTTTCAATTTTTCTGCATTGAGAAGGTATTTGAAAATTTTCAAAATAGGAATTGTCGTGAGTTAAAGACTCCAATGGATCTAAATCTGGAACTTATGGTTAATACTGGAAACTAGTTTTAAAACTAGAGTATTTCATGCATAATTGGGCTCTTGATGCAAGCAATGACTTGCATAAGACCAGATATCGTGCGGTATGACAACTAAGTTGGTGTAGGAGTAATCCTAGTATTCATCATTTGGCAATGGAATGATGCGTGTACTAGGATATCTTAAAGGCACAATGCATTATGCATCATGCATTGACTTATAGTGGGTTTCCACGCATTTTGGGAGGATACACTGATGCGATTGATTTCTTATGTTGAAGATCATACTTCAAGATTAAGATGAGTCTTCTTGCTTGGGGGAGGTGGCATGTTGTGGGCCTCTAAAAATCTAGTTTGCATCATTGGTTTCACTATGGAGTCAATTGTGTGATGGTGGAGAGATTTTGTTTATGATATTCTTTCATGGCCTAAACAAATCCTTCTTTATTACTATCTTTTGGTAGTAATGTTATTTTGGCTAAGGCATATAGCCAAGTGTAAAATGGAAAGTAAGGTCTTGTTAGAGTTATGCACGGTAAAATCTATGAATTGACCACTCATAGTTTTGTGTATGTACAAATATGACCGGACTAGAGATGATTTAGTTTATCATTTGACGAAATGATTAACTAGTGACTTGGTGGTCAAGTTTGTAAAAGGGATGGATTAAAGTCCATATAATTTCTAATCATGGGGTACCCAATTTCCCTCTAATACAACGTTAGAGGCTGAATTCAATGTGGAAAACTCATTATCAGAAATTGAAGCACACAATTTGTCATCCCGAGGTATGTGTTTGTTATCCTGCATGAGAGAAGAGGATGAAGTTCAAAACTTCTTAATTGAATTCTTGAAAAAGTGTATTATGCGGGTACACGAATAAGAGATTCCATCTACGTAAGCATGAAATGTAGCCGCTTCAAGAAACCCAGACTTTGGTTTCGTGTGCACTTATGAGAAGGATTGGACACATGGTGGGTAATAGTGTCAAGGCACTTAGAAGTTTATAAAACTTAAGTGTATATTATCTTCGAATATTCATATGTGTAGATGGGTTCAATCGTTACCGACACCCAAATATTCGCATATACGTCAAGTGTAATATACTAAGATGAAAATTCAATTGTCACGAAATTTTCATTTATGCTTAAGTTTTGTTGGGAAAATGTTGTAATCTTAGTGGATTTTGAATTCACTAAAATGTGGGTGGAATGTTGGAAATTTGGTCGAACCATAATAACCAGGTCGAATCGGTTTGGGTTAGATCAAGTTGGTTAAATTATTGGGCAAGTTAATTAAAATAATTAGCCTATGTTCCAATAGAATTGTCCAAGTTTCATTTCTTTTAAATTGGGCAACTTCCCATTCCATTTCTCCACGTGATGTATTTTGTTTCTTTTGTTTCTTGCAATTTGGAATTGTCATTCCATGTATTGTTTGATCCAAGTAATGCATTGGTTCATGAAGAAAGGCAACCCTTTATGAAATGAAATTGGTGCTTGGATAATGGCAACGGTTTGGAATTGGTAGTTAGTCACCAAAAGCAAAACAATGCTTCGGTTATAGCGTCTATAAATAGAGGTATCTGCTGTCATGTAAAACACACCAAAAATTCATTATTCTTCCTATTAAATTCTCAGTATGCTTTCGTATTTTTAAACCTGGAACCTAAAGTGGTGATAGTTTTATACTCAGGAGAAATTTCCTGTAATTCAAGGCTTTGTGGAGGGTGGAAATATTATTTTCGAAAAGTGAACATTGTGCACGACTCTATCATAATCTTTGTAACCCGATCTCGGGCTATCGCACGTGTACCCTCGTCCCAAAAGTCACAACAAATACAACCATCCTTATATTAATCAAAACTTTTTCTATAACTATATTTTTTGTATGAAGAATTATATACAAAACGACATCATTTTTCTTTCCAAGAGCGGGTTAAGTGGATAGCGAGTTGCGTTTTAGACTTTTAGTTAAACTTACATCCAACTCAACCCACCAATTGCAAAAACGGATTTTACCCACATCCGATCCAAAATCCGTCTACATGAGTTTTACTCAATTTGACCAGTTTGTATTGGGTTGATAGTCGCGAATGCGAGGTTAATTGTCAACCCTGAATGCAACAGCTTGAAATGAGATATTGAGTAGAAGGAAAGCAATAAGAGACATATTGTTTCGTGTGCTATGTATAGGGATGGCAATAGGTCGGGTTGGTACGGGTTTTTCCAAACCCAAACCCAAAATCATGGGTTTATCCACACAAAAAAAACAGGGGTAAAACCCGTTGGGTTTGAGTTTTTGGGTTTATCCACCAAAAAACCCCGGGGGAAAAACTCAAACCCACCCGCTAGGTATCCGCGGGTTCATGGTTACCCGTGGATTTTTGTGTAGAAAATTTACAATAACAAGTTTCTTTCAAAATAAAAGTCTTAACATAAACTTTCTCATACAAATTATCCATACAAAAAACACCAATCTAGAGCATACAAACAAATCGCAAATTATCAATACAAATTGTTCAAAATTAAAGATAAACATCTATAAACAACATGATTAATTGAAAGCTTCTTCCTCCTTGTCAACTATGCTTATTTACTCTCCACTTCATAATATCAAATTCATTGTACACAACTAGAAAGAACAAATTAGACATGTCTCCACAAACATAAAAAAGATTAGTTGTTTAAGGAAGATATACTGTTTAAAATATTAAATATACCGGAAAAATTAATTGTATGGGCGTGGGGGATACCCATGGAGCGGGTATACCTAAACTCAAACCCAACACATGAATAGTGTAGCATATTTAAACTCGAATCCAGCCAAAACCCGTCAACAGGGATTTTGCCCGCGTTAATCGAGTTAGATCGGGTAGGGTACCCGTGAATTCGGGTTTTGTTGCATGGCAGCTCTAATGCTAAGAGGAGCAGTTTTTGTAATAATAATATAATAATGTGCAATGGGCGTGATGAAAGACTTTAGACTATGAACGAGTTATGAAGAATCAGCACACTGGCTGCTGAAACGCAAAGTAGGGAATATCGTACGTTTAAGAAAACTTGATGGATGGGGAAAGGAATGAAAACATTCGATTTGTTACGATTTACGAACTATTAACAAAGAAGAAGGAAATAGACTTTATTCAACCCATAACCTGGGTAGTTTAGTTGGCAGAATTTCAGTACACAAAGAACTTGCTCTTTCTGCTTTTATTCCTTTTGTCGAGCCACCAGCGAACTCAGTTTCAGAGCCTGGCGTTGCGGAGCTGCTGCTTAAGCATGGGGCGGATGTACTCTTGGTAGCCATCGGGGACAACTGAGTCGTTCAGAGGATCCTTCCATGCCTCGTCGTACAGTTTTGGGTACACATTTCCGTCGTAACACCCAAGTATCGATCCAAGGTAGTGGTCAGTGTAGTTGAATGCATCAACGAGTGCGATTGCGTTGGGACGAACCTGTTATTCAGATGACGTCCAGATGAGTAATGTTACTCTCTACTGGCAAGGAGAGGTACGAAGCAGAGAGAAAAATATCACGCACCTGAGAAAATAATGACCGGAGCTGATCATTTGCTAGGGAAGCTTGCTTTGCGGAAATGGCCCCAGTGGAGAGGAAATCGCCTAGGTGCCTGTTGATGAGGTTCAAGGCGTAAATGTTGCAGAGGTTATGCAACTGCTGTTTCACCCCTTCCCCGCCTGGTATATCTTGTTGCAATTTCTCAATGAACCTATATTTAGAAACATCGGTTAAATGTTGTCACGAATTTACGAGAATGTTAAGGACTCAACATGGCGGTTCAGAGCCATGAGAAACCATAAGCTTACTTAGACACAACAATCAATTGGCAGTGAGCAACCGCAGCCTCGGCCAGGAAAGCTGAAAGTTCTGCAAAACCTGGACAGAACAGAAAAGGACGATACATGATATCAGATGAAACTTGAGGCCACAACAAGTAAAAGAGCTAAGCAAGAGAAGCAACGTAAAGGAAGGAAATAAGGTCAGAATTAAGAAGCCAGCTGATATAGTCAGATAAGAGGACTCCGACAACCATTGATGCATGAGAGCTAAGAAAGAAGACATACCCTCTTCAGGGTTTGGAAAACTGCCAAGCTTTTGAGCACGGTTAACACACATCCTAGCAGCCCTGGCTTCAAAGACCTCAAGTACCACAGAAGGGTTCAGCCAATCCTCAGCTGCATCGAATAAAATAATTATCATTTAAACACAGATAAGCCAGGAAACTGATACTTGAGGGGTCAGGTGGAAGTATGAAGGAGTAAGATGACAGTTGACATATATGAATGCGGAGATAGCTAGTAAGGCAAGGACTACAAATCAGTACCATTCTGAACACCACAGTGATACTGCATAAGATGTTCTACTCGCCCTAGGTAAGCTGTTGTTCCAACAGGCTTCTTTCCAGAAGGCAGCTGAGCAACAGTCTTCATCAGAAATCTTGCCACCTAGAAATTAGGCCAAGTAAAACTTCAGTCAAAATACAGTGACAAATACTAAATGCTAGCAACAATCCATTCATCTGATAACATTGAATATATCAGCCAAAGTGGACATTGCACCTCCCATCACAGGGATAACAGAGTAGACAATACGGAAGGAAGAAGACAGCTTGTCTCATCGAAGGGAATTGTGGACATAATATTTCTTACAAAAGAATCAATATCTAAACTATAAACAAAAAAAAAGCAGCAAGTGACCATAATTGCTATACCTGCAAGAGCAGCACAACATTGTCTCCTTCATATGTACAGGCAGGAACATAGACTGCAAACAACTCAGGAAGCCCACTGCTGCAAAGGTAACCATGGCCGCCACACAATTTCCTACATTCTTCAATAGCATCCTGTGGCAACAAATAGTTTGTCGTGATCAACAGCCCTTTTCAAAGAAGTTTATCAAGATAAACTGGAATTAATAAACTATCAAACACCACAAGGTCGGACTTAGAGGTCAAAGTAAAGGGTTTAGGTTTTGCTTGCATTTCATAAACCCCAATTGCTAATTTAGAAAGAAGATAGTGAGAACATACAGCAGTAACAGAAGTAGTCAGAGACTTCAAACCAGCAGTACATGCATGAGCCTCAGGCAAAGTAGAGAAGTCATTGGCTTGCAGTCTTTGTGTGACATCCGTGTAGAGCCATTTTAGCCATTCACCGACAAATCTGAAAGCATATGCAGAAGCAATCAAAGGGAAGAGTCTACTTTGCTGAGTCTTATAATCAATCACCTGGAACAGGATGAGCAGACAACAGAACTGTAAGGGACATCTTCCAAGCTACTAATCTCCAACCAGTTGGTTAGAGGCAAGTACAAAATGTTTGAATGACCAGAATCATGTATCTAATACTCAGAAGGTAACAAAGAAAAACAGAACCGTTGAAAAGAGATGAAAGTATTACAGCCAAATTAAGGTTTGGTACAAAATATGCTCAAGTTTTCTTTGCCATAAGAATTGACAACAAATTCTCAAACTTACCTGTGTCTCAAGACCATTTTGAGCACCAAATTGCCTGCGAACAGCACTATATCTTGTGGCGATACAAACTGCTCGTGATAAAGCACGAGAAGCATCTGCCACAATTGTTTGTCGCACGTAAACCATGGTACCATATATCAACTGCCGAGGGACATTGGACTCAACACATTTCCCTTCCCTTGTAACTTGCAGTACCCTGTCACATGTCCAAATTGGTTAAAAATAAGAGAAGAATAAGGATGATTGAAAAATTAGGCTAGGCTTCTGGCTGATATCTGAACAAGGAGTGCCATTTGGCCCTTTAAATTATCATTCTTGTTTGTATCTACTCGGAGAGAATGACTAGCCCATGATCGAGCTCCCTATTTTCATTCCTAGATGCCAAAACTGAATCATCAATGCTTATGTTACTTACACAGAAACAAAAGCTAACCTAATCTAGTACAATTAAGTTCAAGTTTCTATTCATAGCAAAGAAAAGAAATTTTTTGGTATTTCGGACACATTTCCTAAGACAGTGGACCATTTATGCCATGACATTAATCATTTCCCTTTATCTGTGGAAAGGGGACATTAAGAGAACTAACCTCATCAACATTTGGTCCCTCGGAATACGCACATTATCAAAACGCATAACACCATTGTCCATGGTGTTATAAGCACCATTTCCGAATTTCATGCCAATATCACCAATAGTTATGCCAGGGAGAGGCATATGATCATCCAGGCTACGGAGCTGGACGATAAAACCTGAAATTTAGATTGGCATTATTAAATAGATCAGCTATCAATATGTTAATAGGAAGACAGTGTTTTTGCGCACCATGCACTCCTTGTTCTTGACCATCGGTAATGAGACGTGCATAAACAACAGCATGGGTTGACACTTTACCCAATCCACCAGGCCACCACTACGCAAGCAAACAAGCATTTGTTCAGTTCCAGGCTACAGCAACAAAACTGACATTCTATCAATGCATCTCTTCCTTGCATGCCAGGACATAGAAACATAATTTTTACATCTCAAAGAAAGCGGTTTCAACCTCTCTTACTCACTTTGCTTGATGTTAAGGTGGGACTATGGATGACAAATTCATCAGCCTGAGGATCAAATGTTGCAGTGGTCTCAAGGCCTTGGACATTGGAACCATGACCTAGTTCAGTTTGTGCATAACAGCCGATTATCTGCATCCGGTGTGCCAAGGGCAACCATTTCTGCTGTTGCTCATCTGTCCCCTGCCCTTTAATAGCTGGTACAAACATTCCCTACACACAAACAGACCGAAGCCAAACAGGGCCTGCCATCAGTTGGATGTCAGATATGTAGAGAAATCAACAAGACACATGCATAGATAACAACTCTCTATAGCCTGTAAATGTTACAACCTTTGTAGAATATAATCAATTTGAAATTATTCGAAACACGAAATTCAGGAAGGAAGAAAATTGGACTACACCATTTACCCAATGAAGATCAGTGAATGCTGCTTCATCCACATAGAACCTCAACTTATTCGCCTCTTCCTCTGCAACAACAACAACAACAACAACACTAGCATAGTTATTAAACGAGCAACAATATCACATGAACTATCCATCCACAGTCCACCAACTAGTAAATAGTTCCTGATAACAGCATTCAATCATGGAAATGTTACCAGTAAGACGGAGCTCAATGATTCGTTTCCACGCATAGGCTGCCTTCCTCAGAGTATTCTTGAACAACTCCTTCCTGCTCAGCATAACCCTGTTGTCCTTTCGAAATGCCTGAAAATTTTATAACGGCAGAATCTAACAATGTCATAACAAGTCCCCAAAAAGTTCACAAAACCCCTGATCAAAGAATCCAAACATATAATCATTGACAAATAACCCAAATCATATCCCTTGCATCATTTCTCCGCACCCTTCAAACCCAAACAGCTCAAGAAACAACAGAAAATGAAAGCCAAACTTTCTCTAAAAAAAGATGAAAATCCTCAAATTCCATTTTATCGTTTCCTCCAATCATCCCTACCCACACCAAATTGGCCAACGAGACCAAAGGTCCCAGCTAAAAGCTCAGTTTCCAGATTTTTCTTACCGGATCACTGGCGACGAGACGAGAGATGCGGTCGGAGAGCTCGAAGTCATGGCGTGAACCAGCCCAGACGATCTTCATCTCGTCGACATCAAACTGAGCCTTGCTCCGCTCGCCGGCCAAGTGATCGACGCCGCCGCTCTCCATTTTTTCACTCTTCCTCTGAATCGGAAACTCGAGCGACTCGGGGGAAACCAGTTCGCGGTATGGTGGTTGTTGTTTGAGGAGATTACAGAGAGTCCAGAAGAACTTTGAGCGTTTCCCGGCTACTTCTTCCTTCCTCCTAATCTGTTCATATACAAAGAAAAAAAGTTGTTGGGTGGACAAGAGTCGCTTTTATTCCATAACTGAGTGGAGAAAGAGAGAGAGAGAGAGTTCGGACAAGTCAGTAATCCCAATCCTTCCAATCGACTGATTTGTAGTTCCCGAGGAAGGTCAAATATTTTATTCAATGCACATACCGTCTGTAGAGAACTAGAGATCAGCAGCACCAAATATAAAAAAATTCGCATTTTTTCTCCCGTCTATCCGTGATCCGTCTCTTATACCATTCTAACTAAACGATTCAGTTTGTCGGATGTATCGGGATTTCAAGTTCGATTGTATTTTGAAGTGGGTACTATTTCGGTTTGATTTGTTATAACTGAAACGGTTTAGTACGGTCCGATTAATCATTAAGCACTTTGTGATTATTGTTAACCGTACTGTTTATATTGACTGTAATTAAATAGTTGGTCTTTTGTTATTTTGTCAATTAACCGGATAACCGTTTAGCAACTGCTTCGACAAGGTTATACAAAACTAACCAATTCGGTAACCTAACCAACAAAAGACCTCATTTTTTCAATAGTGCATTTTTGTTGATTTTTTCTATGTGTTCTTTTTTAAAAAGTGATCATTGAATAAAAAAAAATTTAACATAGATATCAATTAATAATCAACTCAATCTAACGCAAGTATACAAGGACGCCATTTCATTATCAAATTTTATTAAAAAAACATACAAGAATAAGAGGCTTAACAATAATTACTCAACTCATAAATGTTACCAAATAACATTGAAGGTTAAATGTTACTGATTGTAGTAGAGCTATTGTGCGCAATTCCAACATTATATTGTGCTCCTTCTAAATCCATTTCTTGAAATTATTCATATTTGAACCTAAGTCAATATTACAACTAGGATAGGAAAGATCTTCGAATATCCCATTATTTTCGACTTATGCCTGCAGCTCATCGAGACCTATTTTTTTCTTTCCTAACTGTGAGGATGCAGGGGTGAACAAATGGGCGTGAAACCCGACCCACCTGACCACCCAACCCGACCCATCCATGAAAACCGACCCAAACTATATTACACAGGTGAATGAGAGTTATGTGATAGAAAATCTAACAAGTTCCTATCAAAATAAAATTCAAACATCAATTTTTCCATACAAATTATCCATACATAAAACACCAATCTAGAAAATTCAAACAAATCACAATTACACTAAATAAAAGCACACAATTCTTTATTTTTCGTTCATTCCCTTTTTGGTTGCGAGAGAACAGCAAATCAACAAACATGTTCAACTTCAATTATTAATTTATCCCTCCCACTTCTGTTGGGAAAAAGGTAATAATACCTTGATAGTAAGAAATAAGTCGGATCGGGAAGGAGATGGGGTTTTGGGGGAGAGAGTAGAGTGGGGACTGTGGAGGCGGCAGGTGAATAGTGAGTGTCGTGAGAGTTAGATTGGGAAAAATTAGAATTATGGTAGGGTTGGGGAGAGTAGGGCGACGGAATAAGTGTGAGCGGGTATTCATAGATCAGGTATCACTAAATCCAAATCCAACCCAACCAGGTGAACAGTGCAACGGGTTTAAACCCGAAATCCGTCAACACGTGTTTTATCCGCATTGACCGGATTGGGTTAGGTCGGGTCGGGTACCCGTTAAAAACAATCAAATAAAATTGCAAAAAGCATAAGCATTAAAGCATATGATGCTTATGCTTACTCATTCGGCATGATACCCACTGGCCGGCAAGTTCTCTACATGATTATGTTTGATAAATTTTGGCTGGTAGAAGCAAAAGGCACCGTGTTTTTCTTCTTTTTTTCCTTGTTTCATGTGAAACATGTGAACGAAACGGGCAAAATGAAACTAGCTCTGGTAACATGTGAAACGTGGCTGCCGTTTCTCTTCTTTTTTTCCTTATTCGAACAATATTTATAAAGGTCCAAATCATGGCAAGATGGCCGTCGTTCTCAAGAGAGTCCGCTGTACCCATTCGAACACCAACAGAGTTTCACTGGAAACACCTTACAAAGAAAACCAGAGTTCAAGCTGAGTGTTCTTAGAACAAGTACTCAGGGAACAAAAATGTCGAAAGATTGGAGAGGTGGATTAATGGAAAGAAGGACAAAAAGAATCATGCAGTTACTTGGTTAGTGATCGTTTAAATAACTTTTGGTTAGTAAAAGCTCCATGGTTAAAAGTTGAAAGCTTACATTTCCGTGCACCGCGACGAGACACCCGAGCATTGGCATTTGGTACCAGAGCAATTCCTTCATCTGGTAGATTGGAGCATCACTAAACAATACCTTCCCATTAAGTATGGTTCCGGCATTTTACAGTGGCAGGAGCTCTGACTCACAAGTAGTTGCTTGCTTCTACTTTGGAGGCACACCCAACTTTGTTTGTATCCCAGGACCGAGTGTCATCTTGCAGTCCGATTAAGAATGGAACAGACGTCTGACTTCCGCATTAGCTCTATGCTCTCAGCAATCGTCGATCCAGCTGTACCAACAAAACCGAGGGATGCACAGCTACAGACGCTTTCTTCTATGTACAAGAGAACATCCGGCGATTTCTGATGAGGACAATGTAGATTCCCTCTACTTCCTCTCTTTCCTAATTGTCTTGCTGTTTCAGCAACCAATCTATCTTCTTCCCTAAGAAAATGCAACTTAAACCGCTTCTCAATGCTAGCTAGCTCGCCCAGATAAGTTCCGCTCCAGTCACCCCGAGGAAGATCTGTCATCACGAAAATGTTGACTGGCTGATCATCCCCCTGGTTCAAAGATCCAAGCTTTTGTCTCAGACCCTGAAATGTAGCCTTCCAGTGGTTCTTAAACTGCCCATCTAACAATCTGAGCTGTGCACAAAGGAAAGGATCTTTTATCCTCCCCGAAGCGAACTTCTTCCCCGCATTCAATATTTCAGGGACAAAGGGGAGGAATTCACTGTTCTTTACTTTCTGAATATCAATATAGGACTCGGAGCCTTTGTATGGAGCGGAGAAAAGGGATCCGAATGCAAGAACGATGGCTGAGCCAGCTTCAGATCCTGGTCCAAAGGTCTTATGCACATCTCGACGTTTCCTTACATACGAAATCCTCTTCTTCTTCTTGAGTTGTTCATCGGGTTGAAATGAATCTAACTCTCCATCATCACCATTCTCGTAAGTCCATACAGTCGTTCTGCAGTCCTCCTTTACTGCATACAAACACCCACCTATGTTACCTTCAATCCCTGATTGCACATTTCCACACTCCCTAAGGATATCAAACGATGAAGACGACCCTGGTTTTAGATAATTTGCACAAGTGGAATCCACATCTACACCACAGAATGAGGCTGCAAAGACCCTGAAATCGATTGCACGAAGCAAAGCAGATGCTAGTGGCGAGATATCGATAATGTCAGTCATCGATACATACCTACAGTAGAAGCAGTTGCCAAGATGATAAGAACTACTAAGCCCCAATCCTTCATTATAAACCCCAATCTAAACCAATTCGCCGTGACCAACTTCGTACAAACAAGCAGTTCAAGCAAATTGCATAACATCTACAGTTCGTACCTTCCACTCTTCATCAATTCAACGGCGTGATTCCAAACCGAAGCTCTAATCTCGTTAGGCGCCGTAACCCGGAATTTCGGGCAGCTTCCGAGGACCACAGCGTGGTGATCGAGGATCGGAGGGACGACCAGAGTTCGATTCAGAATCCTCGCCATCACCGCCGCGTTCTTGAGCTCCGACAGCTGGTTGCTGAATCCACTGTGGGGTGCGTACCAGAGAAACTTCTCTCCTTCCCGGGATGAAGCATGGAATTTTCCGCATTGAGGTTTCTGGGTATTTAGGGTTTGCGTTGAGAAGAGCGATTTGGATGTTTGGAAGGTGGAAATTGAGAGGAATAGGAGGAGGAAGAGAGTGAGAAGAGAGATCGCGAGGATAAAGAAGGGAGACCTGAGAAGAGATTGAGTTGTGGGTTTTCGCTTCGGCCATAATTTGTTTGTTTCCCTTTGGAGATTGAAGATCGCGTTCATGGCTAGCTGCCCCCTAGTGGTTTTGCGCCGAGAATTTGCCCGGGAGTTTTGATTCGGTTAACGTCGGTGTCCTCGCGGCGGAGCGGGTGGAGTTGGGTTGGGCCCGCTTTGATATGGTGACCTTATTACAGGCGGTTTGGTTCGCGGACGTTACAAAGTGCGCAAGCCGCAAGATCACAAATTCTCAGTCGATAATCACTTAACAAGAAGTTGCTATTCATTGAAATGAGTTTATGTTCACAAACAACTCTTCCAAGTTGTAAGACTTTTGAAAATAAAATTCTTATGAAACTATATCAACTTTAGATTAAATTAACCATTAACAAAAAAAAAATTGCATACACCATCATTCAAAAAGGATTGATACCTAAAACTCAGAGTTCATAAAAGATAAAATATTTTAGACCAATTTCCTGTAATAACACCTTATACAAGCGTGTTGCAAAAGTTCTAGCAACTAGGCTAAGTTCAGTATTGCCTACCTTAATTAGCCATAACCAAACCGCATTTATCAAGGGTCGGGTTATTGGTGAGAACATTCTGCTTGCTCATGAATTGGTGCAAAGTATAATAGATCTAATATTTCATCTCGTAGCATTGTGAAAGTGGACATTATGAAGACTTTTGACTCGGTTGACTGGGATTTTCTGATTACTGTAATGAAGGCAATGAACTTTCCAGTAATGTTTGTGAATTGGATAGTGATGTGTGTGACAACCCCAAAACTAAAGAAAAGTTTGAGACAGGGGGATCAGGAAATTTTTAGAAGGATGTCTATGGAAATTTTTTGCTATCTCTATGGAAATTTTTTATTGTTTAATGGGAAAGGCAGTCAGGAAAGGTCAAATGTCATTCCATCTTATATGTAAAAGGCTAGGGCTCTCTCACTTGACGTTTGCAGATGACCTTCTACTTTTTTCGGATGGTTCTAATTACGGGATTCAGTGTAATTAGAGAGTTTTGGGGGGAGTTTAGAAGGATGTCTGGATTGAAATCAAACCCTGAGAAGTGTGAATTATTCTGTGGGGGGGTCCCTGTTGAGTGGCAGAAACAGATGGCTCAGCGAGCAGGTTATAAACTAGGTTCACTCCCTATTAGATACTTGGGATTACCTCTTATTCCTGGCAAACTATCAATTGCAGCTTACAAACCTTTGCTTGACAAGATAAAAAGTAGAATACAAAGTTGGAAATCTAAATTTCTCAGCTATGCAGGCAGATTACAACTTACTTTGTCTGTTTTAGCTAGCTTGACCCAATTCCGGATGGCAGTGTTCATTCTTCCCAAGAGAGTTATAAAGGAGATTGAGAAGCTATGTAGTAATTTACAGCTATGGGGAGTTGGCCCTGATGGAAGGAAGAAGGCTGTAACTGCATGGCATTTCCTTACTTTTCCTAAAAAGGAAGGTGAATTGGGAATTAGGGACCTAGTGATCTGGAACTTCTCATGTATAGTCAGACATATTTGGCTTATCCTTTTGCAGCAGGGTTCGTTCCAGGTTGCTTGGTTAAAGAGTACAGAATTAAAAACCGTGACTTCTGGCAGTTTCAGTCTAAAGCTGGTTCTTGGATCTGGCTAAAGTTCTTCAAGCGTAGAGATAAGATTCGTCAAAAGATGGCACTGGTGAATGCAGAAGTATATTGGAATGGGAAGAAGATGAACAGATTCAGTATACAAGCAGTTTGGGAGGACTTCAGACCAAGAGATAACCTTGTCTCTTGGTTCTCTCTTGTCTGGAAACGACCCTCTATCCCCAGAAACCAATTCCTTGTATGGCTTGTTATAAAGAACTTTATTTTGACAGGAGAGAAGATGCAAAACTGGGGGACTGCGGGTTAACTTGCATGTTCTTTCTGTGACTGTCCTCTCGAGACTAAGTCTCATTTATTCGCAGAATGTGCAGTCTTTCGTGAGATGTATTCAGGGCTGTTGCACCCTATTTTCCCCAAAACTCTATCGGACAGCTGGGAGGAGGAATTGTCATGGGCTATTAAGACATTTAAAGTTAAAGAGACTCAAAAGCATATTGCGAAAGTTATATGGCAGGTCATTATCAGCTCAATTTGGCGAGAGAGATGTGCCCTGAGACATGGAGGAACCAGAAGAAGTATCCATGATCTAAGAATGCAGATTAAGAAGGATAATTAAATGTTTTTTGATGATGTTAATGTTTCAGAGTTTTGGCCTGCTAGATTTTGATTTACTCTTGAGTATAGGTTTTGGGTTGTTATGGATACTATTAGTAGATAGTGGATTGTTAACTCAGTTGGCAGAGTGGTGTTGTCACTAGGTTCAGGGGTATTTTTTATGATATAAAATTTTAACCAATTCTTAAAAAAAAAGGAAAAATTTATTCGTTGTATACTTGTATTGTTTAAGCATTCAATAAAGTTCTAAGGAACAATGGACAAGAAGATAAGGTTATGAAACTATACTCGAAGACATAAGTTGTTTCGAATTCAAGATTTCAAGTATTATTTATTTGATGTTTGTGAAACCATATTAAAGTATAGTTATGCAACTATTTTTTTATAAATGGATACAATGCATCTCAGCTTTCATTCAAAACAAGACGAGGCTCAGAAAGACCTTGACAGTCATATAAAATAAGATAGTTCAAAAGAGGATCCAACACCAGAACAAAATGAAGCCCCAAAGGGACGAAATGTCCATGATTAGCTAAGAAATTGACACATATATTCCTCTCTCTGTAAATATGATGGCAAGAGACTTCCCAGTTTCTTAATAGCAATTCCTGGAAGCAATCGATGATAGCAACATGATGATGATTTGTACATGTCGGGTTTTGCAGGAGCTGAAGTGCACACTAAGAGTCAAGATCCACACAAACCTGGCGGTATCCTCGCTCCCAGGCCATCTGAAGTCCATCTACAACGCCTTTCAATTCTGCTCGGGTAATAGAACCTATCCCCAAGTTGCTGGTGAATGCTACAAGGCAACATCCTGTATGATCTCTAATCAGGCCACCTGCTGCAGCAAGCCGGACTCATGAATGATGGAGTTGTCTGAATTGAGAGTCACCCACTCGGAAGGTGGCGGCTTTCAAGAGATCTCTACCTTCGTTCTGGCAGGCAGACTAGGCGTATGGACAAGCCTGTCTTTGTCCATGGCATGCCTCGCGACAGTTATCCAAGCTAGGGCGCACTGTAGAAAGGCTTCAGTGGTAACGACTTTGCCTGCAAAGACTCTGTCGTTTCTGGTCCTCTAAAGGGACCAGCAGATGATGTCAAAATCAAAACCGGTATGTTCCCTGTGAATGTTATGGAGAACCCACTCCTAGAGATGACTGTTGAAAAAGTCATGTTGATCGTAAATCTGAGTGAGACGCAGCCAAGTTAACCTGAAAAAAGAACAATCTCGTACATGCAAGATTGTTTCTAGATGTTATTTGCAGTGACCGCATAAGGGATAATCATCCATGTGATGCCTCGTGTGCTCTTGGTTAGTGAGCAGTCGGTTCCAAATTGCTAGCCAGAGGAAGTGGTTGAACTGGGCTGGGCCCTTCCACCTCCAGATCTTCCGCCAGTCGAAGTCCCACCACCTGACCACCTCACCCTTGGCAATGTCATAGGCTAACCTCACTCTGAAGTGGCCATCTTTTTCTGGTCCCCACATCATAACGTCTTCCCCAGCATGTGGTTGCGGAGGCTGATTACCTATCACCTGCAACACAACGTCCTTAGGGAAAGAAACACGGTGCCTGTGAAGATCTCACTCACCTCGAGACATGACCAACTCCACCACCGGGACGGTCTGATCCATCACAGGTGCATCCTCATTGGCCAGGTCGATAAGCATTTCCCCACTGTCAATCCATTTTTTGTCCAGAAAGAGGTGGACTGACCATCCTCGATGCTCATGTGCATCTTCATCTTCATGATCAGCTAGGCTTTCTTAACTCCCTAACAGATATTGGACATTCGAGCCGAAGTTTTTGCAACGATTACTCCATCCACTTTTCTGAAATATTTAGCCTGCAAAACATGAACCCACAACTCGTCCAGATTTTTAACAAAGACCAGGCAATCTTGGCGAGGAAAGCGAGATTGAGATCATGGGCGTTGCGGATGCCCAAAACTCCATCTTTCTTAGGGCAATACACCGCCTCCCAATGCACAAGGTGGACCTTCCTGGCCCCCCTCCGAAGTTCGCCAGATGAAACTTTGAATTTTACGGTCGATTGAGTCGCAAATAGACTGGGGGATGAGGATGGTTTGCATCGTATAGGCTTGCAGGAAGTCCAGGATAGAGATGACCAAGGTGATTCGTCCCGCAAAGTTCAAGCTTTGCGCTTTCCAACCCGAAAGCTTGTTCTCTAGGCGATCTAGGATGTATCGGTAAGTAACCTTAGTTACCCGCCTATGCAGGATAGAGACCCCAAGGTACCGACCGAGATCTTCTGTCATAGGCATCTCGAGCCCTCGAGCAATAGAGACACAAAGTTTCTGAGGAGTATTGTTGGATACGAACATGACTGATTTGTCTTTGCTGACCTGTTGGCCAGGCGCAAGACATAACCGGTCCAATCACTCCACCACCACACCCCCTTGTGCCTCCGTTGCTTCTGCAAAAAGAATGAGGTCGTAAGCAAAAATTAGGTGGGAGAGAGGGGGTCCACTTGGTGAATTGCGGATAGGCTTCCACTTCTTCTCTGTAATCGCATACTAAATGATATGGTGAGTTGTTCCATGCACAAGGTAAATAGGTACGGTGAGACTGGACAACCCTATCTCAGTCCACGGGAAGGCGTGAACTCCTTTTTCAAGCCGCCTTTCCAAAGAACCCGAATCGAGGTTGAAGTTACGCACTGCATAATGCCCTCTACAATCTTATCTGGCAGACCGACTCCCACAAGTGTCTCCCATAGAAAGTCCCAGCTTAACCTATCATAGGCCGTAGCCAAGTCAATCGTCAGCACCATATGTCCCTTCTGCCCCTTCTTTAGCCCCATAGAGTGAATAAATTTATGCAGAATGATAATATTATTATTTATGTGACGACCTGGGACAAAACTCATATGAGTCGGGTGGACTAGGGTCTTCGTGAGAGGGTCAATGCGGTTCACAAGGACTTTGGCAAAATTCTTGTAAACCACATTACTCAAACCAATATGATGGAACTGCGCGATGGATTTTGGGCTCTCCTTCTTCGAGATCAGGCAAAGCAGGGTGGAGTTCACTAAGGAGATACGACTTGGGTCCTTCTCGTCGTTACCACAAAGGAAAGTAGACGGAGAGGGCGGATTGGAAAGGGAGAGACCGAGAGGAAGAAATAGAGAGGCGAAGTGAAGAATAGGTGGATTTATTAGTTCTGGTTTTCTTGTTCTTCCCATTTTTTTCTCCAGAGAAGCAGAAGAAACGAAAGATGAAGAGCAGAGAAAGGGAGAGAGTTGGGGGCGGCGAAAGTGAGCTAGGGATGTAGGGTTTTGTCGTCACAAACCACACTTATACCCGAAAATACCAAATTACCCTCTAAATTCCTTAAAATCTACCCGTTGCCACCTTGTCTTTAAAAAAAACGAAAATCATCATAGTTTAAAAACACCCGAACCCATAACCTCCATCTCACCATCGCAACTAACACGTTTACCATTTAGACTAACTTATTACTTGCTAGCTTTAATACCTATTTAACTTTATTGTCAACAAAGTTAATACATAAATCACACATCCGTCGAAGGTAATAGAATCCTTAGTTTAGCTTTAATCCAATTAGTCTTATACATCAAAATCACATAACACTATCGTGGATCAATAGATCATGATTGTGCTTATTATACATTTACTCTACCAAATTTCACAAATCAAGGAAAAACTCAAACTATCATATTAATTAGGGCTGGCCATTCGGTTAGCGGTTAGCGGTTAACCGGCCGGTTAAATCGATAATCGCCGGTTACCGGTTAACCGACTAACCAAAAAAATCAGTGTCGGGCGGTTGGCGGTAGCGGGTTTCACTGTGCCGGTTAACCGGCTAACCGACGGTGGTAACCGCCGGTTAACCAGCTAACCGGCAAAACGCAAAACGATGCCGCTGACTCCGTCCATCCACTTCCACGACTAACCCTAATCGAAGATGAAGAAGGCCACCTCATCTCCTGCCTCCTCTCAGCAATCAAAGACGAAGTCCTCTACACTGCAAACGACCACTCCTTCGACCCTCTGCCCCATCCAACCCGCCGGCGCCGCGCCAATCCACTGCTCGCCGCGAGCCCACCCGCCGGCGCCGCATTCTCCCCATTCTCCCTTCGCCGCGAGCCCACCCGCCGGCGCCGCATTGCTCGCGAGTCGCGACCCAGCAACCGCCGTTGAAGAAGGATGTAAGTCACCCGCTCCACTCCTCTGCTTGCTGCCTTCTGCATCTGCTGATCTTTTTGAAACCGTAGAAAATGGAGGATTTTC